CCGATCATAGGTGAGATACTGGCTGTCGAGAGTCTCTAGGAAATCTAGGAAATGGCGAGCTTTGACATCTCGGATGTGCTCGTAAGCTTCGCCTTGAATGCGGAACTTGAGGTAGTCAACCGCTTGCCAGTCCTCTGGGTATGTGCGACACTTGGCCACTGCCATCTCGCGCCACCGCTCGTAGTCGTCGTCGACCTTGCCCTTGAACGTCTCAAGTTCTGGGAGTTTGTAAGAGAATCCTCCACCGGCGGTAGAGGGCGCGACGGGCGGCGGTCGCGGTACTGTAGGAGCGGGGGCGTATGGGTTCGATGATGGAGGAGGTAGCGAGGCGTCGCGCACGGGAGTACGGTTATCCCATGGGGTGTACCCAGCTCGGCGAGGATCTTGTGAGAGTTGGTCAGCGGTACCATCTACAGGTCGCTGTAGCAAAACGCTTGATTGTACAGGCCGTACTGGGTCGTAAGATCGCTCGCGCCGCCAGAGGGTGTACGGCTGATAGTTGGGTTCATGTTGCAGCAGTCGGTCGGTGACCGTTTTTGTCTCACGTCTAGCCTCGGTGAGCTGGAGGTTGAGCTCATCGTAAGCCTTATCCTTAAGGGCGAGAGCTTCGTTCTTGTTCGCCTCCATGTTAGAGTACTTGACATCATACTGGTTAAGCTCGATAGAATAGCGATCAGCTTGTCCTTTGAACTTGTCGCAGAGCTCAGCGTTGGCCTTAGCTTGGTCTGCCCACCAGTCGGCGCTGTCAGACTCCTCCTTGAGCTTCTGTGCCAACTCTGCGTAGTTAGGACCGCTCTCCGGTTCATCGGCTCGGCGGGATAGGTCCTCAACCTTCTGCTTGAGTTCATTGCGTTCGGTGGCGGCAAGGTCGCGCTCAGCGGCGAGGGCTTTGAAGGCGGGGTCATCGCGAACGTTGGGGAGTTGTTCTGACGCAGCTTTGAGCTTTCCGATGTCCGAGGTGAGGCGTCGGATCTCTGTCAGCTTCTCCTTGTACAGGTTGCTGCTAACCATGCCAACTTGTAGTTGTTTACTGTTCGAAGTTTCATCAAGGGCTGCTTCAACATTCGCTAGTCGGTCTCGTAGAGCTTGAGTCTCTCCTTCATTGCGGTCCACAGTCTGCAGATGCCTATTGATGGCGTCAGTGCAGTTGCGTAGGGAGACTAGCGTAGAGACAATAAATCGCCACCAGAAGTCGGGACGATCCTTCACGTTCTTCTGGAGGTTACTAGAGTTAGTGACAGTGAAGTCGTTGATGTTGTGGGTGATGTTGCCATCAGTGCGGATTCGGCCTGTGCTAAGGGAGTAAAAGGCATTGCTGTGCTCGTCAGGTTCGGGATCCTCTTGTAATTCGAACCACTCGGTGTCAACGGTATAACGGAGGTAAACGTAGTTAGAATCTTTGAGGTATTCGAGCAGGACGTCGTTGATTTCGATGCCGACAATCTCGCGTGTAGCAGTCATGGGCTCTAGGTCGCCGCTAGCTGATACTGATGGCTGGGATGACGGATGGGCTGCCAGAAGCATGCTCTCTCGGCGGTTGGAGAGGCAAGCTCGTACTGGTACGAGAGGCGGGCCCATCTGTGATTGAGTAGGATCCTGGGAAGCTTGCCCGAAGGTGGCACCGGTGGCTGAGGTACCTTGGGTATTCTGGGTATTGGCCGGGTTTGCCATCGCGATGATCTTTTCGTGTGTGTTGCGCAGGGCTGACCGTAGGGTCGCGCTTCTCGAAGCTCGATGCCTTGCCTTCTGCCTACTTGTCCGTTGATGTAGGTGGACCTGTCCTTTACCAGCGTTGGTGACAACCCCCACGAGCAATACTTGCCTGTTGAGCCTGGTGTCTCTGGTCTTTTCGTGTGTTGCGCAGGGCTTACCGTAGGGTCGCGCTTCTCGAAGCTCGATGCCTTGCCCTCTGCCTACTTGTCCGTTGATGTAGGTGGACCTGTCCTCTACCAGCGTTGGTGACAACCCTCACGAGCAATACTTGCTTGTTGAGCCTGGTGTCTCCACCCGTGGGCTTCTAGCGCAATACTTTGCGATCCTCGTCGTCAAGACCTAACCCGTCGCAGAACGTCTTGTTCTGCCCGATGTAGCAAGTCGCAGTTGCTCAATCGGCGGCGGCGCTCGGCGCGGACGGTGTTTCTGATAACTGAGCCTGATGCGAAGTATCCTAGGTATGTAGGGGTTGACACACAATAGTGTAAAGGCACTAGTACACTGCAATAGTTAGGATGCCTCTAATAAGTGAGATTGTGTGTACAGATCTATATACAAGTACGAGGGGAACTTTATTATTCCTCGCACGGGCCAACTGCCAGCGTGGCACGTGATTGTATGGCACGTGATCGCGTGAGGGATCGTAGGTTTGATCCATCACACCGCTACGTGTGGTGCAACCACGGCCTCCTAGACACGATTATTTCTAACCGAGGCAGCCAGTTCGTCTCCGCCTTTTACGAGGAATTGTGCAAATAACTAAAGATCGACCCGCGCTTCTTAATAGGATTTTATCCTAAAACTAATAGTTAAACCGAGAATGCAAACGCCGTTATAGAACAAGTCCTACGCGCGTACACGAACTACAGACAGGATAACTAGGTAAGCTAGTTACCTACCGCCCAGTTTGAAGCCAACAATACCGTATCCGAATCTACTAGGGTGTCCCTAATAATGGCCTGTTATAGCCAGAACCCCCGAATAAAGTTTAAACTACCCTCTAGCATAAAGAGACCTGCGTACTAAGCCTTACAGGCTCGAGAAGTAAATTAGATAATCGAGAAGATGCGCGATGTGACTAAGTTCATCCGCGAAGAAATAACATAGGCACAAGCTATGCAACAAGAATATACCAACCAAAAACGGTTGCCAGCACTAGCGTACGAGGTCGGCGACGAAGTCTGGCTCGACGCCCGCAACATTAGAACACAACGCGCCTTGAAAAAGCTCGACTAGAAGAACCTTGGTCCTTACCGTGTAGTTAAGAAAATCTCCTCTTACGTATAATGACTCGACCTACCCGCTATAATGAAGATTTATCTAGTCTTTTATGTATCCCTCCTCCGACTTGCGGCAGCAAAATTAGATTTCCTGCCTAGCTAGCACGTACTGCCACCTAAGCTAGCATTCGTAGACGGTGAGCTATATTACTTTGTTAAGAGCGTCGAGAACCTCCGCTACAATAAACGACGAAAGCGACACGAGTACCTCGTGAAATAGGTTAGCTATAAAGAACTTTCTTAGGAACCTGCTAAAGAGCTAGAAGAGAACGACGCCGTCGTTCGCTTCTACGAAAAGTTCCTAGAAAAACCAAAACTATTAATATTAACTTAACCTAATATTAGGAATAATACTGCTATTACTCACTCTCTTGAGAGCTCGAGAGTAAGAGGGGGGTACTGTCACGGTAACCACCGTGGTCCCTTTGACACTCCTGCACAGTCCGCAACAATCAATTAAGTGGGTCCTAGAAGGTTCAGATTGGATTGATTGATTACCGCTTTAAGCCTAGTAGTTACCTATAGGAGTTTAAGCCCTACCTAGATAGGTAAGTGGGTCTAGGAGAGTGACCGGATTGAATTGATTGTTGCGGAGTCTACCTACAACGCGATCCAGCAGCATCTCCAAGATTCCTCCAGCCATTGGGAGTGCGATGAATGCGAGTTCGACGGCCATTCTTGGGATGAGTTGCTCGACCACTGTCGCGCCGATGGATGCCGTACTGTTTGCCAAGATTGCGACGATGGCAGAGGAATGCATTGGGACAATGAAGATGGTGGATACCAGAAGCATGTTGACGAGTTCAATGTGTGCACTGATTGCGAGAGGCACTTCAGTTCTCTGTCTCATCTATATCAGGTATGTCGCTTTGATTACCTGGAGAGCGCATGTTCTGAAGATATTTAGCACCGACTGTCGCATCGCAACCGGACATACAGGTGTCTGCAGACTCCGCAACAATCAATCGATCGACATGATTGATTCCTATATAGGTTAAAGAGTTACTTTATTAGGCAGCCTTTAACCTAGATAGGAATCAATCATGCCGATCCGATTGATTGTTGCGGAGTCTGGGTGTCTGTGCTGCGAAAAAAAGTTCAAGACCTACGGTGGCATGGTATGTGTTGTCGTTAAGTATCGCGAATCTGCTGCTTATCTTTCCAGATTATCCATCTCGAATGCGGCACCTGCGACAACACTGACTATATCGACCTCAACAAGCTGGCTGCCCAATGCCTTAAGTGGAGCCACTTCATCTACGAAGACTGCCGCGAGGAACTGCTGTATGAGGGAGACACGTTGTATGATGAAGATCCATTCTATTGCCCGACTTGCGATACTCCGTTACCGAAGTTGTCTAGCCTGTTCCAACACGTCGAGTCATCCAAGTGCGAGGAGACATTGGACAGCCCTACTATGAAGCATCTGCGCAACCTTCTGGCCAAAGGACTATAGGGCTAGGGAGGCATGGCGATGATGATCTCGACATATTCCACAGTGATAGAAGGGAGTAGTGGCTGTGAATTTGGGATCTGGCTAGGTCGTAGCTTTGAAGAACCTTAGTAATGTATGGACAATTGCAAAGGGTTCCGAGCTAGAATGATTCAGATATATTGTCAGGTAGATGCAGGTTGAACAGGAAGCATCGTGCGAACGTGTTTGCTGGCCTTGCGACACCAATAGTATACAATACATAAGCGTACACGAGTGTAATAGAATTATCGAAGCCAACTAAAGAAGCATGATGAACAAGGTAGGTCTGCATCATGTCTTGTTGCCAACACATAATTCCATCGTAAGTCCCTTGCTCTGGTCGAGCATGTGCAACGGATTTTGCCCTTTGCAAAGATTTTCCTGAACGCACGTTTCTAGTCAGCCCCACTCAACCATTCACAAAATTTCAGGATAACTCACCCCATAGAAGTATGCCTGATCGTCACACCAAGTATTGGCCGCACACTGAAACGCCATTCCACCAGGCTGGCTGAGCTGCAGTCCTGCCTCAAACCCTACGCAAGCGCTGGTATCCGCATCAGGTTTGCCGTCCACCACGCCCAGACAAGATATTAGGCTGAGATTGTACATGCCGAAACTGCCTGAGCTATATTCAACGTTGACGGACTTTGAAAGATTGCTCTCCTTGCTCATCTTGAATACGGGACCTATAGGATCTACGGTGCTGACGAGATCTACGGGGACGGTTCCCCCAGCAGACAGACAGCCTGTCTCGGCAGATGCACCGGGAATCTCGTAGACATAGAATACCTCATAGGAGCAATAGTTCCTGAGTGTCAATTTGTTCGGAATGCTCTCTGGTATTGGGAAGATATTGAGCTGTTGGGATCCGGTGTCGTAGCTCGGGTTGGGTACGCCAGGGTAAAGGGGTAGTTGGGCTCGCCCAACAGTGCAGCTTTTGGAAGCGGTGACTGCTGCCGCAACTTGTTCGTCGGTCATGCGCTCGACATTGGAGACGATGAGTTGCGTATCCCGTTGGGCCAGTGGCTTGGCGTCCAGCGTAATGAGGCTGCGAGTCGACAAGCCATGTCGATGCATGATACGATTGAGATGGGGCACTGCGGCGACCAAAGTCGACGAGAGAACTAAAGACAACAAGAATAACATTTCAGAAACCTGTATGGGCAGTACTATGGTGCTGAAACTCAAAAATGTGTTGGGGTTTGTGGTACAATGTTCCGTTGCGTGATTTTAAAAGTAACGAGTGCTATGCGTCACGGCGGCGAATGTGACTCTGAGGGCTTTAACGCATGATTTCGAGGCGATGACTTGTAGATGATACTTTGAGATGAAAAGAAGGGTAACAAGACTGCGACTGAGGTGCTGATGACTGACCGGTGACTGGAGATTGAGTAACCGAAACAGAGTAACAATAATGAGTGACAGTACCGAAGTACAGAGGTTAGTGGTCTTCCAGATACGACTGTCAGTTATCGATTTCTCTCTTAAACGTCCATGGTGCAGACCTTTATTATCATGTGTTACTAATACTTACTCTGGCATGAGGCGTTTATTTTGTTCGGGGAAAGGTAGCTTTAAATGACCTATGCCGTCCTCCCTTTTTCGACACCTCGGATGGAGTCTAGTCACAGCACCAGACACTGATATAGGTATGTGCACAATCTTCAAGGGCGATGATACGGATTTCCAAGCCGGATGCGACATGCGTGCTTGATCTGGTAGCATCCATGCTGTTGATCTGGTCGAGCTGACTGTAGGACTTGAATTCTTGTGAAAGTCCAAACGCGTAGCTTTTTCCGGTACGCTACAACATAATCGTACCTAGCCTGCGATAGATGCCTGTGTGGTGGAGACCCGGATTTGGAGTAGTTTCTTTTCTGGCGATGACGTCATCGATATGACTCCTCTTGCCGCCCTCACCCAACATCGCTACCCAGGTAATAGTCAAGGGAAACTCACACGGAGCCCGTGCTTTCAGCCACACATCTCGGCGGCTGGACTGGCTGATTACTTGTGCATCAGCTGTGGTCCGTCTACTGTGCTCGATACCCATTTCGGCAACGCGTGGGGGCCACACGGGCAACATCTCTCCATACACACATCGCGTATGCGCAACGCCCGGTCGTCCCGTGTCAGCCTTGAGCGCCCCATCCCGTCTGCCTGCTACGAACCAGGGGCAGTGTTCAGTGCCTGTTCCAACACTGGCTAGAACACGTAGTTCACCATTTGGTCCGATAATATGGTTGGCTACTTTGTACCGAAGGAATTGTACACTGAGGCTGAGATCCAGTCAGCCCTTTTCCGGATGCAGGCTGCCGCACATCATGTTCGGATTCACGTGAAGTATGGTATGCCTACAATAGCCTTGTGGCTAGAAGGTCCTTTGCTTATAATGGGTTGCTTTCCGTTGCTTACTACTTTTGCCTTCATTTCCATTTTGGACGACACAGCATATTCTCTCGATATTGAACCGGAAAGATTAACCGTAAAGGCATTCACCGATTGTCTTGTGTTGCGTTGAACGAAGCACGATTTTGATTAATCGGCAAAATGACGTCCGTGGAGCGGCAGCCGCTGTTGAACGAAAAGGCAGCAAGTGTCGACAGGTTGGAGGTGACTGACGGAGAGTTACGACACACAGATACGACTAGAGCACGAAACTCGGGCGGTCCCCTCTGCAACGCTGTATTGTTGCCCCTGCTGGGCGCAATTGCTCTGTACAGCTCATACACTCTGTGTAAGCAATTTATCTCTGGTCGGACGGCATGGCCCATGATGTTACACAAGATTTCACCGTCGTTGAACTACACATGCACACCCGGACAGTCTTGCTGGCCATCGACATACGAATGGAATGCTTTCAACCAAAGCGTTGACGGCCATCTCAAGCTGACAGTCCCTTGGGCCGCGCCATGCTACTCTGATCCGTCCAGCAAGCAATGTCAGGAGGTCGCGAAGAACTACGGAGACGGCGTCTCGCGAACTAAGCAATACGGATCCATGGAGTTTCTCGACTGGGAGAGATGCGGTCGCTCGCAGTGCGCTTTGAACTCGGCCAACACCCCAGAGCCTGTCTCCGGTGCCTGTTCGCTGGGAAGACTCTCCGCATATTACGTCGATGCCAGATCAAGCAACGACATCAGCAAAATTTTGGATTTTGTTCGCAAGCATGGCATTGGAATTTCCATCAAAAATACAGGACACGACTACTTTGGACGATCGACGGCTCCAAACTCCCTGGCAATTTGGACCCACAACCTGAAAGACACCAAGTTCCATAAGAAGTTTCAGCCGAAGGGATGCGACACCCGTTATAAGAATATTGGCGAGATCGGTGCCGGGATACAAGCTCAAGAAGCCTGGGAAGCTTTCGAGCCACATGATATGCTTGTCACTGTAGGAGCTGTGGCTTCGGTCGGTATCGCCGGAGGCTTCGGCCAAGCAGGCGGCCATGGACCGCTGGGACCAAAGTACGGCTTGATGGTCGATCAGGCTGTCGAGTTTGATGTCGTCACCGCTGATGGTGAACAACGCACTATCAACGAATGCAGTGATCCAGACCTTTTCTGGGCGATGCGTGGAGGAGGTGGCGGCAGCTACGCTGTGCTTACATCCTACAAGTTCCAACTTCACCCGGCCGTACCCATCAACGTCTACAGCTTTCAGGCTCATTTCGAAGCGCCGGAAAACATCACTGAGTCGAGCATACACCGCGCCATTCTTACTGGACTTGCTTCGAACCAGTCTCACTTTGGTGAGAACGGCGTTGCCGGGTTCAACTTCGTACTACCAGATCATGTAGTGTTCCTACAGGTCATGCCTTCTACCGACCCCGACGCGATTAAGAACGTCACTGCAAAATTTCACGACCTACTCACCCATCTACCTGGTCTCGAAATCACCGAAAATGAATACCATTCATTCAAGAAGTTCTCACAATGGCACGAGTTCACGGAAAGGCCATCGGTATCCCGTAACGGGCCAGTCGGCCTGGGTTTCAACGGCGCGGGGCGATTCATCCCCAAAGATCTCTTCACTACACCAAACAAGATCGAGCAACTCGTCACTGCCGTCGTCACCGCAATGCAATTTTCCTATAGCAATCACGGAGGAGGTGGTGCCCAGCTCTACGCTACTGGCCCAGATAATAATCCCGACAACGGCAAAACTAGCGTCAACCCTATCTGGAGGGAATCCCTCTGGGAAGTGGTCATGGGCCAGTTCTGGACGACAGCAACATCGCTGGAGATGCGAGCACAGATCCAAAAGACGGTCTCCGCTACAATCGAACCTTTCAAGGCCTTGACACCAGGTGGAGGATGCTATTTGAACGAAGGTGATTGGACTGAGGAGAATTGGAAGGAAACTTTCTTTGGGACACAATATAACAAGTTGCTGGCTATAAAGCAGCGATATGACCCCACGGGTCTGTTCAACTGCTGGAAGTGTGTAGGGTGGACGGGATATGATGAGTAAGTTATCAGACTGTGTCTTCGTGAATGACAACTAACTAGCTATAGCCCGAAGTATTCTTGCTATGCTCAGACACTCGAGGATTTGCAACCTTGAGCGTCAGTCGGTCTTGTTCGATAAATACCTCAGATTGCACCGCAGCGTTGGTCATGGCAGTTTTGCTATTTACTAGGTAGATTTCAATATCAAATCTTGTTGAGAATATCTGGGTTCAGTCCAGGTAGAAGGTGCTTGGGGATCACATGATGTGCTGGTGTGGCAGGCACTGCCCGGTGGGCAATAGCACCCACCACAATAGAGTGAGACCTTGACATATAACACGATAGTCAATACAATACGCTGTAGCCACCCCGCCTTGTCCCTCCTCCCACTCGGTTATCCATAGTAGTCATACTACTAGAGGGACCTTGTTCCAATAAATCTTAGTATTTCGCTTCTCCTTGTCTCAAGTCCTGCCACTTGTACTTCAGATCCTCCATGTTGTTTGTACGCTATCTTCGTCCGATCACTGGGCATTCCAATCTTCTGACGAGTTCATGTGTCACTCTTACAGAAGTGAAGTGCACGCGCGCAATTTCCCAAGCTTAGCACCACATCACAACTGGCGAGGCTGTCGGTAAGTGCTTCACCTGTCGTTTCAAGACTTTTGCGCCTCCTGTGTGTGGCATTATCGCTTTTTGTACTCATTTGTGCGGTTGTCATTCGCGGTCATTCCGTTGTCCGGTGACCGCTCATTCATCATCCACTGACATTTAAAGTGGAGACGGCACAACAATCCCCCGCAGCCGTATGTAGCTTGCGCTCACCTCTGTTTAGAGCTTTCTAGTAACAACAACAGCAAGTTGAACAGCGGCTTTTTCATCTACACTCCTTTTGTGTCCCCCTGCGACACTGAACAGCTTCCAGCCAACTGCACACTCTCTGCAGCAACAGCTCCTGCTAGCTTTTGTAATCATCTACATCGTATGACATAGGATAACAGTCATGCATTACGTCGCAACCATCAGCATTGCGCTTCCATTGCTCACTGTCGGCGCACGCGTCGGACACGATCACGGACACGGCCATGTTCACGCAGAGATGCATCGTCGCGCTCTTGTGACCACCGTCGTCGAGGTCACTGAGACTGTATACACTACTGTCACTGTCGACCCGGTTGGCCAGTCTTCTAGCACGTCGTCTGCTTCCGCTTCGTTGGAAGGTTCCATGACAGTCGAGCTCCCGGACAAGGGCGCTTCAACTGCAGTGTCGACCCCAACCTCTTCGTCTACCGTCTCGCCGGAACCATCCGGCACCAAAGCCTCAACCTACCCCGCCCTCTTCCCTGAGGCTAACTCGGCCATCATTGTCAACTCATGTGTCCATGACATCTACGTTTCTTCCATCGGCGACAGGAGCTGTGGACCGAGCACCAACTGCCAGCTCGTCCCGTCCAACACTACTTACCGAGAGGCTATCCGCGTTTGCGACAAGAGCGGCATCTCACTCAAGGTTTCGAAGACTGAGGACATGACCAAGCCCATGCAGTTCGAGTACACCGTGTGGGATGACAAGAAGACTGTGTCCTACGACATCTCGTACCTGGACTGCATGGTCGAGAAAGACGGACAGAAGGACATGACTGGTTGCGTCGGTTACGAGACTGGTATCCAAGCCAAATCCGGTGACGACTGCCCTACCTACAAGTGCGTCGGAAACGTGGTGTGCGCCAAGGACGCCTATGTCGTCGCTGAGTTTAGTTACCAAGCTGGTGCTCCCGTCGGCGCTTGCAACGTCAACAGCGGTGTCGCTTTCGAGCTGTGTGCTGAGAACAGGGCTTAGAGAAATAGGTATGTATTGTTCTCCATGCATGTGTTTGGTTCAATGTTTTTCTAACAACCTACTACCAGGCTCTGGAGGATACGGATTGTGGAGGATGCTGGGCTTCCGGACGTCTTTTCTTCTTTCCTATGTCTGTTCTGAAAGCGACATGATAGTTGTTGCTGGTTACCAGGTGGATGGGTAGCTGGCTGTGTGCTACAAACATCATGGAGTGCATATGCTCAAGGGGTTGAGACCATCGATGTAGATAGCTAGGTGTTAACCAGGTAGTCTGAATTACGTGCGTACTACACTGAAAATGGCATTGCAGACTTTCAAACCGGCCCACCCCAAGTGTTCCACTGCCCCATTGTCCCCCAATCCGCACCGATGTCATTCCCGTTCCCACTAGGACCAAGTCCCATCCCAAGACCTGGAAAGTCAAGACCCTCGAACCCATCTAAGCCAGCACCTGAGAAGAGATCGAGGCCAAGATCCAGTCCCATTGTATCCCTCGCCGGCGTAACTTCCTCCGCAGGTCTCGAGTCCAATACAGCATCGATAACCTTCGTGAAGATCTTACTAGCCTTCCGGCAAAGATTGTAGTTTGCCTCGCCGTGCCTCGCCCCGGAATTTTCCATATGCGCAGCAGCGTCAAGATGCGAGATGAGTACGCTGAGCATGCGAATGATTTCTGCGCGCGAAACCTCAGCAGGGAACTGTTGGCCAGTAAGATGCTGTTCGCGGAGTGCAGTAGCCAGGACAGATGCAGCGGGTACCCCAAAGAGCAGCATTCCATTCAACATGTCACGATGAACGTCATACAAACGATCACGGATTGTGCCCAAGGTAAGGGTGTTGGAGAGTAGATCAATAGAAACGCGCAGCAGAGCTGTGTTGAGCGTTAGGGGACTGTAGTCTAGCAGCCTCTGGATCATGAACTCATTGTACCAGTGTGTTAGATGGACGATGCATAACATGAGGCAGATTGATGTGGGGATGTTATCTTCCCAGCAGGTTTTCCAGTAGCGCATGTGTTTTGGTAGCGCCTCCCAAGATGTGCGTATGCGCTGGGAGATGTCCCTGTGAATTTGTCAATAGAAGTTCCAAGGACAGAAACAAGGATCAGTGCATACATTAGTTGAGCTTCGGCATTTGCATCTATCTTGATGAGCGAAAATTCAAGTATCTCTTCCCGGAATCGAAGTGATATGTGACGGAGACGCTGCAGTGCATTAGTTTGTGTAAGCGAAGTCGAGCGAGGATCATACAATCCATGAGGCGCGCAGCCACTGCCTTTGTGTGTTCCATCCATCAGAGTCCAAGGCCTGGATAGCAGTCTCAAGGGCGTCTTTGTCGCCAGTAACCACATTATCTGCCAGGTCAAATGGAAGACTGATATCTGTGTATCGTTTGCTGATCCGTATTGGCCGTCCTAGGAATGTAGATATGGATTTGTCTTGATTGTATGCGGCGCAAAAGACTCTTCTGCGAGTATCTGCCAGCCAAGTCGGGGCATGAGCGCATTTCTTTTCTTGGTGAAGACCAAGAGCGTAAACCTGTGTTGACAACTCGTTGACACGCCTCCATGATGGCGGGCCTACATATATAGCAATCAGTTCTAATGTCTTTGACATCCCACAGACCTACTTACCAGTATATCCGCACATCATGATTGTGAACACGTAATTCTCGTAGTACATCCATACCGTGATATCATTGACTGTAGCAAGCATCGTCGTAAGGAAAAGACATGTTGTGCTTGCGCGAAGTAACTCGTCGGTAAAGCGTAGCTTCATGTCCTTCTTGGAGGGGTCATTGAAGAGGTCTGGAGCAAAACCAAATGTGAGCGATCGGCCAGCTGTTGCAAGGAGGAAGCCAATAACTTCAAAGCGTAGGTTCTCACCCGAGCAGAGTATGTGAAAGTCGCGAGCTTCCAATGACTGTGATATCACGAAGGGTCGCGCTGTTGACTCCAAGACCTGCTCTATGAGTTCCGGGCTTGGTGCTTTGCGTCGAAGATCATGCTTGTCAACAATAGCCTCTAGGGCGTTGACGGTGTCAACTTGGATCTGTGCAGGTATTACGCCTGCTTCGTTGGATGCGTTATACCAGAGTATGAGTTCCCGTATTGCATTGTAATGACGGAAGGTGCTTAATACATCGTACGCCATTTGATATCTCATTGACTTGGATATGGTATGCTGATGGGTGAGTTCGCGATCTGATCTCTCTGATGCAACAGACCCTTCTCTTTCGCGAATTTGGCCCGGTTCTTCATCTTGAGGAAGCAGAACGGCATAAGATCCAGGCCCGAGGAAGCCTGGATGGTATACATCGGCTGCGACAGCATCTGCAAGCTTTTCGCCTTCCGTGGAGGGAGGTGGGAATACAGCTCCTGGATCTCGATTTTGCCTCGATGGCCGTCTAAAGAGATCAGGGTTCTCTTCCATCAACAGCGTTCGAGATGTCACATACTTTCTCTTAGGGGCACGGGATTCACCTGCACCTGACTCATCGGTAGTTGGACGCGGTCTAGTCAAAGGCGCGGGATGGTAGAAACAACGCTCTTCGATTCCACGTTGGCGACACCTGTCGCATTTTGGGTGGCCATGATCGCACTTTGTCTTGTTCAGTCTGCATGGCTCGCAAGAGGCTGGCTTGCCGTTGCGTCTACTACTGTTCGCGTCCCTGGTTGGTTGTCAGCGCAGCTCATGCGTGGCTTCGGTGTCAAATATACATTTTGGAGACACGTGACTCATATATGTGAGAACTTTTGGCGGACTACATCTAGCATGCATACCATCATGCGCCCGCAACAGTGTGATTGGCATCTTGCCTTGTACAGTATGCTCTGGAGGGACGCGATGCGGGCGGCCTTACTAAGTGCGTTATCGATAAGTTAACGTGTCTCACCGCCATGCGCACGACCCCACCACGCGCACACGTATCCCAAATACTGCCATCTTTCCAAATGCTATAACTCCACCATTATGGCAGCTATTGATGAAATTTCTGCAGCTTTAGAGTCGCTGCGACTTAGAAAAACAACTGGCTATACTGAGACTGCTAAAAAGTTTAGTGTTAATCGCTCTGTGTTGAGTAGAAGACACCGAGGGTTGCAAGGCACGCGTGCGGAGTATAAGGAAAGATGCAGAAATCTCAACACAACACAAGAAGACGAGCTTATACGCTATATTAATGGGCTTTGTAAGCGAGGACTACCTCCTACAAGGCAAATAATACGGAATTTTGCATCGGAAATCGCTAGAAAGAGCATTAGAAAGAACTAGGTTGACTGATTTCTACAGCGCCATCAGCGCGAGCTTCTTATCCACTACACCACCAATCTCAATCGCAGTCGTAAGCAAGCCGACTCTGCCCTCAATTACACCTTATACTTTAAGCTTCTACGCAAAAAAATTGAGGAGTACAGTATTGACACGCAGCAGATCTTTAATATAGATAAGAAGGGCTTCTTAATCGGTATCCTTTCTAAGAGCAAGCGGGTGTTTACACAGCCAAGATGGCAGTCAAAAGAGAGTCGTACACTACTCCAGGATGGCAATCGTGAGTGGATTACTGTACTACCTTGCATTTGCGCCGACGGTACTGCACTTACTCCATCGCTTATCTACCAGGCCGCCTCTGGAAACATCCAGGACACCTGGCTATAGGATTTCGACCCCGAGAAGCATCGCGCCTTCTTCACCTCATCGCTAAATGGCTGGACGAGCAACGAGATCGGCCTCGCGTGGCTTGAACAGGTGTTCAGTCGGGAGACAAAAGCGAAAGCTCGCTCTGCGCGCCGGCTACTTATTCTATGTCAGCCCTCAGGGGGTGTGTCAACTAGAATGTTCTACTATCGTCACAGCTACGTAACACACTGCTGATCTGGAATGCTCCAGATACTCTACTTCATGTATATAGTCGCTCTCTGCAACTCTCTCAATAAAACAACCTTCTCTCTCATCTCTCCTCCGATCCAACATTCTAGATAGGCATGGCTCTCATATTACAATAAAGTTTATCGAATTTTGCGACGCCAACAAGATACTACTCGCGATCTTTCCGCCGCATGCGACCTATACGCTTCAGCTACTCGATGTAGGGATGTTCAGCCCTCTAGCAGCAGCTTACTCCGCTGCGCTCACTGATCACCTCACTAGATCGCAAGGCATTTGGTCTATCACAAAGCGCGACTTTTTCTCGCTCTTCTCTACCGCCTGGAGCACCTCGTTCACGGCGAAAAACGTACTCGCTGCCTTCAAAGCCACCGGTATCGCGCCGCTCGATCCACAAGTTATACTACAGCGCTTTGCCAGCAAGAAGGACTCACGGCCAAGCTCAAGCGGTAGCGCGAGCTCAGTGCTCAGCGCGTCGGACTGACGAAAGATTGAGCGCCTTCTGCGCGAGGTAGTGGCCGATACATGCTCTAAGGAGAAGAAGAAGCTTAGCCAAACGATACACACGCTCGCTGTACAAAAATCGCTCCTCTAGCACGAGAACGAGCAGCTTAGAGAAGCGCTCTCGCATAAGAAGAAGCGCCGGCAGCGCGGCAAGGCACTACTACTCGAGCCGCCTAAGGAGTATCACGACGGCGCTGTCTTCTACTCGCCGTAGAAAGTACAGCAAGCTCGCGACCGCTAACACTAGAAAGAGCTTAACAAAGCGGCAGTACAACACCAGAAAAGCGAGGCAGTAAAGCTCCGCAAGGAGCAGAAGCTTCTTAAGCAAATTGCACTCGAAGAGAGGCGCCATCTCCGGCTTACGGCGAAGCAGCAGCGCGATAGGCTTAAGGCGGCAGAAGCTGCAGCACGAGAGGAGCAAAAGATAGCTAAGCAAGCCCAGAAACAAATCCAAAATGACGTACAACTATCGCGACGATGGAAACGGCAAAGTATTAAAGCGCAAACTAAAGCTAAGATTAATACTGTCGTTGGTGTTGATAATAGAGCCTCTACAATAGCATCTGCTACTTCAATAGTGACCACCCGCCGCGGCCGCAACGTCAAACTTCCGGCCAAATTTAAGTAGCGCAATGCATCTACCAAGAAATTACGTGTAGAGGGCTTTTATGTGGGGCTCTACAGCCTCAATTTTGTGCTGAAAAATGGCTGCCGAACGTGCGCGTGGCGGAGCCGTGCGCGTGGTGGTGAGACACGTTAGGCGGATGCGCTAACCACAAGGAGCCTGCCACAAATCTACCTCGGTATGCAGTCACTTCATCAGACGCATCATACTCTCATCACCATGCCATCCACTTGTATTGGGCGCTCAATTCTATTTGATGATACAATCTTCTATGAGCGATACAAATTGAACATGTGTCTTACTGGCTAGCTCCAGTGCGGAACGGTCAAAGGATACCCAAAATTACCATCCCCCTAATTCAAACGCTTAATATAGTTAGTGGAAATATAACAAATCAGGCTCGCTTATCTTGGCCTTCCAGAGCGGCAGTCCTTTTCATATCGGCCATCCGAATGCCAAAGGACACAATGAAAGCTGCGCCAGCCAACGCAATAGCCACAACCATGGTGCCTCTGAAACCCTCGATGTACGACTTGAGCACAACTGGTAGGAATCTCGCAGGTACGACTCTTCTAAGCTCTGATGCTCCTGCCCTCAAAACGATCTCAGGATTAAGATCAGGGGCGTTGATACGGAGTTGCTTGGCAAGGATGTTCTGGAAGGCCGTTTGTGCGCCAGCTATGCCGAATGCGCTAGCGGTGGTTTGAAAGACTGTCGCAAACATCAGTAAACTGGACATAGTAATGGCCATAGAAATTCAAAACTTACACAAGAGCGTGGCGGTCGCTAGTGCTACGTCACTTTCCTTAGTCGTAGATTGGAGGAGCATGGTGGGAACCTGGAAGCTTATACCGACCCCAAGACCTGTAAAAATCTGATAGCCGATCCAGATGCCAGTGGACGAGTCAACGTCGAGAGTATAGAGCAGGCCACATCCTGCACACGTCATCGCTCCACCTGCGATCATCCATGGATATGCAAGGCCAGTCTTAGCCAGGGCTTGCCCGACTAGGACTACACAGGCTGTGACGGCGATGATGAATGGCACAGTACGAATGCCACTCTGGGAAACCGAGATGCCCTGGACAGATTAGAAGTAGATAGGAACATAGTAGAACGCTACTAAGAATGAAGCGTTGATACTGACGGGTGGTTAGCAATGGCTTTCATCAATCACACGAACTCGAGACCTACAGCAGCCCGAAGATACAACCAGCGTACATAGTCCTTCTCTTGATGATGATAGTGTTTATCATGGCATTTTCTCTCTGCCACACCTGCACGGCTATAAACAAAGCCAGGCATACAACAAAAGCCACCAGGGTGCCGATTACAGCGCCACTGTTCCAGGCTTTTGAGATACCACCCCATTGCATAGCGAGAACAAAGCAGACACAAGCGCCGACAATCAGAGTCATACCAAGAAGGTCCATTCGACGAAGCATGCCACGCCAGTTAGGACGAGTCTTAGGTGGTTCATTTCCAAAGAAAAACAGAATAAATGCGGCGGCGACACCTCCGACGGGTAGGTTAATGTAGAAACTTGGCTTTGTTAGCAAGTGCACGATGGGCGGATATAAGAACCGAGGATACTCACCACCATCGCCAGGTTACGTTGCTAGTGAAAGCACCACCTATCAGCGGTCCGACGACACTTGCCAAGCCATATGCACCGCCAATTAAGCCGCTGTACTTTGGACGTTCGGAAGGCGTAACCAAGGCAGCGATGATAGTGTATGAGCCTGCGAAAAGGCCTGCAGCTCCAACGCCGCAAATTGCATGCCCAATAATCAGGGCTTTAGATGTTGGAGCAGCACCTAGGGGATATGCGTTAATGTCGTTCCCTAAACAGTGGTGCGAACGCCGGGGGTGAAGGTAACATACCACATATTGTGCTACCCACCTCGAAGAGAAAAATTGACAACAAATAGGTCCATTTCAACGGGAAGAACGTGTAAAGTCGACCCCAGAGAGCTTGAGTCGCAGCGGTAGTGACGAAAAAAGAAGAGCCATACCATCCGATGTCTTGCAGAGAGTGGAACTCATCAGTGATGGCAGGAATAGCCGTGGTTATGATTGTCTAGTGGTTCGGTAAGTAAGCTTATCAGAAGTTTTGATCGGTAAGATGCATACATTGTCCAGAGAAGCCTGTAAGAAACACTGTCAGTATACGGAACCCCCGTTTCGGGATGACGTCACATCTTATAAGGAATATTGCCATCACCAGTCCCATTAGTACAAGCAGGAATCGGGCCTTTGTTAATTTAATAGCAGAGGACTCTTCCTGGACCTCAAACACCTCTGCAGCGGGTCGCAGGTCTCTTTCCGAGTCCACTGCGGTAGCAATGCTTTCCTTCACCGAATCTGACGGGGTAGGGGTCCAATTCTCCATATTGGGGAAGTGATCTGCAAGTCCGAGCAGTACAGAAGTGGGACTGGCAGTAAGACGAAGATCCTGATCTCAGGTTAGAACTCACTGACTTATGGATGGTGGTTTCCATGTCGCAACTATATTGTTGATGTTGATGTTGATTGTGGTTTAACGCCCTATCTGTAACCTCCCATAGGGTATTCGGGCGGGTCCCGCCGTGGTCTTATAGTGTTGTCGCACTTGCCTCGTGGAACCTATTCCTAGGTGTTTTGTATCTAAGGGGAGTGATGTCCTGCCTATATACATGTTCGTGAAAAGGACTCCCGCCATTTGAAGCCGTTTTCCTACAATATTCTAGTATTTCGTGGCTTGCGCCTTTGATCGATGCAGTACAGTAACTGCTTTTTAGAGAGAGAAACGAAAAAGTAACAAGAGGCAATTAGAGATATAATAAAAGGTTTGAGAGAGAGCGTGTGGGTTGTGGCATCTATGCGGCGTTTTGCCGCGAATCCTACACTGAATAATGCCAAGGAATTCAGCGGGTCTTTGTGAAATTCAAAAATAGAAATCACTCGTCATAGAAGGAGTTCGTTACCTTCACGAAGGTCTCGAACTCTTGTGGCTGGTCTATTAATTGCGCGAGGTACGCTAGGCCTTCCTGTCTTGTGCGAGGGGGCACGATGGGGCGTAGAGGCCACTTCTTGAAGTGTGTTGTGGCTCTCTTGCAGAACACTAGGTGTTCTGGCGTCTTGGGCCTGCCGCATAGGCAATTCGAGGTATCCTCGTGGTTGAATTTTCGGTGGTACCATTCAAAGTCGCCATGCGTTGAGCGTATCATAAGGACTTTCGCGAGTATCCTTCGGGGTAGCCATAGCGCTGCGGGCGTGCGCCTAGTATCGTATGGCAGCTGCCATTGCGTGTACCATGCTGATAGCCTACTGCTCTTATCCTTCCACCAAGTGTCCCTTGTATGTTCGAGGAGGCGGCGGCCTACTGTTCGTATACCGGATCTTGTGGGGGAGGCGGCCATGCCGTATGGCTGGTGCGGGTCTTTGGCCTCGTTGTCAGCCAGCTGGTCGGCGAGTTCGTTTCCAACAATCTTCATGTGTCCCGGCGCCCACCGCGTTTTCACGTTGTAGGCCTCCATAGCTCCATGGATTTGGAGGAACGCCCATTGGGAGGAGGTAGGGGCGGTTCCGCGTATGCCCCATATTACCGAAGTGCTGTCTATGCAAAGTACGATCTCCCTCTGGCTAGGCAGTGAGAGTTGTAGTGCGTGTTTGAGTCCTCTGCACGCGCCTATAGCCTCCGCATCGAAGACGTGGCTAAGGGCATTTAGTGAACCTTGTCCAGTCGCCACGGCGGCCTGGCCCTGGTATATAGCGTACCCGTAAGTGACCACCCTTGTACCGTTGATTTGTTGTTCAGACCCGTCTGAGAAGACAGTGATTGTCTCCTGTCCAAGAGACTCCCACCAGATGGTGAAATTCTGGGCAGCAATGTCCTTTCCTTGCCCTTGCGTTGGATCCTGCCTCGACCCGTCTGAAAAGTGAGGGCTGGCTAGGACGTTTCGGGGTGTGGCGGGTAGCAGTTGTGCTACGCGCTGAACCTTCGATCTTGGTATCCGTCGGTTGCCCGCTGCGCGTCCTCGTATGACTAGTGGCAGTGTAGTTCTATTAGTAAGTGGGTGCTTGTCGTCTATCGTGCGTAGGTGAACTGCAAAGCGGAGCTTAGCCTCCTCCAGCGCCACCTGTGCCGACGGCATCGCAGCTTCTCTTATGTCGCAACTATATCTTCATGGTCGCGGCTTCCTTAGAATCCGCGGCACGAACACACGCATTCTACACCGGCAAAACAATGCACCGAGAATCGAAACGTTTGCCACGACGGCGCGCGCTGTGGGTGAGGCTCTGGCATACATGGGCAGCTTAACGCGTTTGCGTAAAACGTTTTAGCTTAAAACGTTTTAAAACGCTTTAACAGCTTAAACTGTTCACGCGTTTAAGAAAATCCTTAAACGCGTGAACGATTTAAAAACGCTATAAGAGGCTTGGCGCCAAGCACCCCACCTTTGCATCTCAAAAACTCTGCAACCACTCCCCACTAACCTGAAATCTCAACAAATCCATTATCTATAGCATCTATTATCGTTATGTCATCGAATACCTTGTCAGCAAGTGCGATATCAACGCCACCGTCGCGAAGACCCGCAACGCCGCCACACTTTGACGCTGTTATACGAACCGAAACTGTCTGTAACACCAGCAATGCAAAGCGCCAGCGTTTGAAAAAGCAGTATGTGTGCAAACGCTGTCGCTCATGGTTTAGCAGTCACCGAGTAAACTCTATCCACCATGTTCTAGCATATCATACAACGTCAGAGTCTTCTCAGCCCTCGCAAACTTCTTCTTCGTCGTCGCAACCAGCTATCACTTCAGTGTTTAGGACTGTCTCTGATCAGACAATTATCCGCAACGCCTTCAATGAACAAGGGTATCGCGATGCGCTTGTCGGTCTTCTGACTCGACGTCGAATAGCCTTTTCATCAATCGAATGGTCTGAAATGAGGGATCTAGCGCTTGCTTGCAATCCATTTATTGAAGACCAGCTTATCACAAGTCGACGTACAGCC